CTAAATAATTGTGCTCGTAACTATCATCTGTTTGTTTTACTTCCGACCACTTAATCATTCTACACCAAATCATTCAGCAACTTGTAAACAATCCTTAAGATGTTGTTATTGGCAAGTCGTTTATATGATTGTTCTAATTAAATGTTATCAACTATAAAAACAAAAAATATCGAAAAATATTCGTTTCAGTTTAGATATTGAATATAATTTTAATCTGTTTATCAAAAGAACGATATACCATTCTTCATAAAATATAAACAACAAACAAATGGTAATACTCGAATTCAGTAGTAGGTGCTTTCCGTAGTTTGCGAAATGCATTTTTTTTTGAATTAATATAATTCTGGTCAGCTTGAGAAATCGGTACGACGACTTATGAAATTGCATACCAAAATCATATATAAAAAATAGTTGTAAAATGACGCTATTTAACTATTTTGATTCAGATGTGAAAAAATTGGTTAAAAAGTGAACATATCCGTATTAAGTGTTTAAATTTGATCAATTTCATCTTTAAAAAACATTAAAAACACACATTCATATTATAATAATAAATAATATTTTATTTATTATTATTATTATTATATCATTACTAAAACAAAATAATTATAATAAGTAATTATTGAACAACATTAATTTAATTTAATTATGTTATGAATTGCTTTTTAGTTAATTATCATATAAATACTGGATCGGTATTTTTATTTTTCATTACAAGAATTATATCAATTACATTAATTACTAAACTTAAAAAAATATATCAATTATGATATAATGTATTAATAAATACTAGAAAAGTACTCGTACAATGCAACGAGATATATACCGATGTTAATGTTTCGTTTTATTCTTATATCTGTCGATGTCAGAATACAATTTTATGTGGTTTTAAGAAAAGCGATAATGTTTTTATTTTTGAATAAAATATAAATTTGAAGATATCATAAAAAATTTAATTTTTGCTTTAATAATATAATTTTTTAATTTTAATAACAAAGCAATTTATTTTTTGGTATAATAATATAATATTTTATAAAAATAACAACTAAGTATTCTATTAAAACTCAATGATTATCCTAATTATATTTTAGATTTTTTATAATTAAAATGAAATGTTTATCATTATTTAATTATCTTTATCTGCAGTTAGTTACACAAATTAAAACATAATGCTTTCATAAGTTGTAGTTACACACAATCTACTTGTAGTATTGAATTTTAAGTAATATGTATCAATAAATAGCATTTTTATGCATAAAAATGGTTTTAAAAAGTTTTTGTCAAATGCTTTATAATATAGTATAGATATACATTCAATAAAAGAAAATAGTAGAAGCTGTATTGGCTGATAAATAGTGACACGTCAAATATGTCAGTCACTATCGTAAAATTGCATTTTTGGAGGATCTTTTAGCTGATTAAAGTGAGAATTTTCTCGGCCAGTTAAAATGACCCTTAGTCATTGGTCTATTTATTGAGCTTTTGCAAGTGAATCTCTTGCCGATATACATAAATATTGAGATACTGTAAATTGTTCAGACCAAACTAGTTGTTATCATACAGATCAAAATGATTCACTCATACTGATTCTAATCTTATTTCAACTCGAGTTGACCGAATTTTGACAAAAACTGATATTTTTTTTATATTTTATTTTAAAAGCAGATATCATTCGTTATGACCAATTAACTGACTGTAATTTATCTTCTATACTGATTATATTGAATGTCTTTTTTCCAAAAGATATTTTATATTTAATAGAATTTTCTTCCATTTTAAATGAAAAATTCGTTTCTTATCCCTTTCACATTATTCTATGGTCAAATTGTGAATTATTTATCATCAATTTGCAAATTAATAATCAGAAAATATTATCTTCAAATTTACAATTTTATAATTAATATTTTATGAATAAAACATGAAGATTTTTCAATACACGCATTCAAAACAATTTTAACTAATAATCATGATATTATTTTAATAAATAAACAATATCAAATATATAAATTAGTTGAAAGCTTAGACTCATAATATTTGTTTGAATGATAAAAGAATAAATAAATAAAATATAAATTATTTATTATATTTTATTATTAGCTTGTCAATTTTCATGTGAATTTTTATATTTATATAAATAATAAAAGTTGTTTTGAATTCCAACAAGAAAAATTATAATAAAAGGATATCAAAACCTTCGATCAAATTAATGCATTCAACTCTAACAACTACTTTATCTATATTATATTATAAGACATTTGATAAAAGATATTAAAAACCATTTTTATGCATTAAGTACTGTTGATTGATGCATATTTTTTAAAATTCAAGATTACAAGTAAATTGTGTGTAAATACAACTTACTAAGCTTCATTTTTGAAATCGTGTAACTAACTACATATAAATATAATTAAATAGAAGATAAACATCTTTAATTTTAAATTAAAAAATCTAAAATATAATTAGAATAATCATTGATATCTAATAAAATACTTAATTATTATCTTTATAAAAAATATATTATTAAACCAAAAATAAAAAGAATGTATTAAAAAAATACACAAAAAAAGAGAAATTTTAAATACTTAGTTTGATACCAATATTTTTTTTTTCCTGTTGTTTATGACATATTTATATTTTATTTAATAATAAAAACATTATCGCTTTCTCAAAATCACATAAAAGAGTATTATAACATCGATTGAAACAAAAAACATAAAACCAAACAATAAAAGCAAGATATATTTTGTTGTATTATACGGATACCCTTCTAGTTTTAACAATACTAACATTAATTGTATTATTAAAATATTTAATATTTTTAATAAAATATTATTTTCTCTCACCAACATTTATTTTCAATATTTATTATCGATGAAATATAGAACTCTCTAAAATCACTCGAATTTATATTATAACATAATTGTTAAAGATGTTATGAAAAAACACTGAAACAAAACTCAACCAGCCATTTTGTTTTTTCTTGAATTCCATCATACCATACCCTACATCAAAATAGCATTATTATCGTTTTCATAAATAAACTAAAAGAATTCTAAATTAGAACACAGAGGTGTACGTAGGTTGGGTTGGATGATTATTAACATTTTTACAAACCAACCTAATTATGACGGTTTGATAAATTTCAACCCAACCCAACCCAACCCTTGCGCGTTAGAGTGGGTTGGGTTGGGTTGACGGGTTACTGAAATTCATAAACCTGGCAAATGAAATATGATAAATAATACTAAAAATATATCCAACAAAGTTATTAGTTATTACAATCATCCAAAAATATATCTAAATCCTCAAGTATCGGAATCAAATTTCAAAAGTTTAAATGATAGCATCCAATTCAAATCCTCAATCAAGTACGACTGTCTTGGACCTTCCCGACTCTGATGTTGCATTCTCCTTGAGTTTGTCTACAGTTATAAAAGAATATTATACCATTTATTAAGAATATATAAACATAAAAAAAACCCATCGTTAAATTAACCTTCTTCAAGAAAATCATAAGATGAAAGCCAACAACCACAGTTCGGTCGGCACTCGGCAGTCACGATTTGCAGATTTGGGGACGCTAGACGAGTAGAAGATAGGAGAACGTGAAGTCGAGAACTGAATTGGAGTATTGGTCCTATTAGATTTGACCTAGACAATAGTTGTATTAAGTTTGGATTATAAACCGGACAAATGATACATGTATTTAATTTTTGGGTTGTACGTTAGACTAAAAAATTTACATATTTTTGGGCTGTAAATTATAATTTTGTAAATATCACACACACACACACACATATATATATATATATATATACACACACACACACATAATTTTATAAAAATAATATATATTAGCGACGGGTTGGCGGGTTAGGTTGGGTTGAGTCATGTTAACCCAGTTTTAACCCTCCTAATTAGCGGTTTGATGATTTGACGGATTGGGTTAGACTGGTTTCATGGGTTGAAGGTTTTTTGTACACTCCTGTTAGAACAGGCAAGGATCAAATTGTTCGGCGTGTAATATTGTTTTTAACTGGTATTAAATATTCGCTATTAATAAAATATAACAAACTTAATTAAATTATTGGATTATCAAATTCTTCTTGTTTAAACCCAACAATGTGAATGCTTATAATTTAATTAAATTCCATAAATCAATGGTTGATGCCTAAACCACCATAATTTAATTCAAACCAAACCCATTTATAAATATTACAATAATTATAAAATTTATGATATCTTATTTTTATGAGACAACATAAATATCTTCATAATTCAAGCAACTTGATTTTAAATAGTATTTAAAGGAAACAAGTTGTATTTTTTATAAATAAAATATAAGAAATAATTTATCCAAGTGTATGATGTGGGCCATATTTTTTGCTAAATTTTAAATATATGTATTTCATTTCGATATTTTTTAAGGTGCATATGATATACAGATGTGACGGTGGATTTATGATAACTATTGAATAGATGCATTTTTAAGGTGGAATAAGTCGTATGATGTGTTTTTTTAGTGGAATTCCATAAGTTGAAGCATATATCCGGAGCTTCATAAAAAACTACCTTTTAAGTGTAGCTTAATGAATAAGCCGTTGTTTCGGTTTTTTAGGTATCAACTTCAGTAGTTGTACTAAACAAATCAAGGTTATCCAAGGAATTCGATACTATAACAAATATATAAAATGTGGTTCGCGAGCTGATTCTCATTCAGACAGGGGAAAATGGAAAACGACAAAAAGATTCATAAAAACCGATAGGGGGAATGATTTCGTCGTCTAGTGACCCAACCAACACCAAACGCCGTCGTATTCTTGGTCTAACTTCCAACCAAACGATACGGTTTCATTCTGTCACTCTTCCACCCCCACCCCGTCGCCATCACTCACTCCTCCAACCTCTGCCCTGCAAAAAAATTAAAAAAGGATTTTATCTTAAAACGAATTCAATCCAAACCCTCTCGTCGCCGCTCTCACATTCTCTCTCTACAATTCTCCCCCAAAAAAGCAGCCAACTTTCCACGCTTTTGGGCCCCTATTACCTTTCTAAACCACCGTCAACTTCCCGTCTCTCTGTGCATGGTGATCGTCCGGAGCGGCGGCGTACGGTGGTCAAATGAAATGCCAAAATCCGGTTGATTAGGGTCTTCTGGTGGTTGTTAATTTGTTATCGGTAATGTGATTTTGTTTTGGTTTTTGACGCCGGAAAATGAACATGGATCGGCCGGCGGCGGCGGTGGTGAATTTGGGAATGGATATGCCGATCATGCACGACAGTGACCGGTACGACTTTGTTCGGGATATCGGGTCGGGTAATTTTGGGGTAGCAAGGCTTATGAGAGATAAGCAAACCAGAGAGCTGGTTGCAGTCAAGTATATCGAGAGGGGTGAAAAGGTAATTTACTCAGTTCTTGAATTTGGGTTAATCGTCTTCTTTAATGATGCCTAATTTCGATCGATTTTAACAACTTTATTTCATGTGTGTTGGTTTAAATATAGAAAAATTCCATCATTTTGTTAGATTGATTGGTATTGTTTCTGGTTAAAGTTGTTTCTCTCTCTTCCCCTTCTGGGTGTTTCAAGAAATCTTGATTTCTGTTCATGGAATCTTGAACCTCCATTAAAACCCAAATTAACTCGTTTGGGAGGTTTCTATTGATCTGAGCAGGTTTTAGTTTCGGAGGCTTTTTCATAGATTGGAATGATAGTTATGGAAAAAACTTGGCCGCTTTCAAACAGTCATGTATGTTGACCAAATAAGTTGTGTGTCAAATTAAGCTGTTAACAGACAAACCCTTGCTACCATTTGAATAACTTTCAAGAAAGATGGTTTGGTTCTAATCTAGAATCTTGAAGCTTATGGTTGATTGTATATACCTTTTTTCTGTAACAATGGTTTCGTGGGTCAGCTTACATGCATCGACTAATTTCCTGGCATGACCTGTAGTAATTGTAGGTGAACCTCCATGGTCACAAGGGTTTTGGCGGTTCTGGAAGTGTCTGGATTCGAACGCGGGGAAGATGCGATTCCCACTACATTCTTTTGAGTCTCGACCAGTGTGCCATAACCCATGTGGTTATTATAGATCCCTTTTGACCTTCTGATTCTGTTTTGGGGTTTATGCTAAATATGGAAAGTTTTAACTAATTAGAGGGTGTTCAAGCGAATTTGGTGATCATGTTCATAGGTTGCTTAATCTGGGAAACAAGAACACAATTAGGGAAAGTTGATGAAAGATTTGATCTAATAACATGAAATGAGATAGAAGTTGCTTTAATTAGGCTTATTGTTATGTTTTCTTCAAGTATCGATTTGATAAAATTAAACAGCGTTTCTTCGGTTCAAATAAGTTGACTAAATATGGTAAAAAGGTAAGAAGAGAAGTTCGTATCTGACTCATTGAAAAAAGTATCTATTTGAAGATATATATGTGAACCGACGTTACAACATATTCATATGAGTTTCACATATGCATCTTATGATGAATTTTTTTAATGATTCACATATGAACCTTTTATTTCTTACATTCTCACGATATTTAGCCTTCTTATTTAAACCTCCTATATTGTGAATTGTTAACTTGTTGGTTATTAACTACGTAAACATCTGTTGTTTTTCAGATAGACGAGAACGTTCAAAGAGAAATTATCAATCATAGGCCTTTAAGACATCCCAATATAGTTCGGTTTAAAGAGGTTTGATCGCTTTCATCCTTCTTTTGTTCTAATCGTTATGAGTTTTATCAGTCGGGATTTGAATGCTTATTTTGTTAATCTTTTGTTAATTCGAAGGTCATATTGACCCCAACCCATTTGGCAATTGTGATGGAGTACGTTTCTGGAGGGGAGCTTTTTGATAGAATTTGTAACGCAGGGCGCTTCAACGAGGATGAGGTTTTTGTCTTATCAACGACTACATATAATTTCCCTATAATGATAATATAAGGTCGCTACACGGGTTTATGAAGTTATTCGCCACATTTGGAGATCACGCTTTAAAGCCCGATCACGTTGAAATTATAGGCCCGGTTTGGAAAAGGCTGACCTGGCAAAACCTAGAAAAGCCGGGTTAAACCTGAAAAAGCCTGACCTAAAAAAGTCTGATCGGGTCCTTTTTCTACCCCAAAGCCTAGCCCCGACATTTTCTTTGAAAATGGGCTTGGGAGGTCAGGGCCATGGCCTGAAAAAGTCGAGGCCTTGGTGCATCTCCAATTGCATTGTTCGTGAGACATCTAAAAATGGAATGTATTTCGGGTTCGGAGACTTTTTTCTTATCTTTGGTTCTTGTGCAGGCTCGATTCTTCTTTCAACAACTGATATCGGGCGTTAGCTACTGTCATGCCATGGTATGTTGTATAAATTCTTTCCATTTACAACATGTATAAATACACTAACCGTTTGTCGTTTCTGTGTTGGTTCCCATCGTTGCAGCAAGTTTGCCATCGCGACTTGAAGCTGGAAAACACGTTGTTAGACGAAAGCCCTGCTCCTCGTCTGAAGATATGCGATTTTGGGTACTCAAAGGTAGCAGCATTTCTTGGCTCGTTGATCATTTTCGTTCATATATTGTTCTACGTCTGTGTTTAGAATCCGGTTTCTTTCTCTTATGTTGTATTGCAGTCTTCCGTGCTGCATTCGCAGCCAAAATCAACGGTCGGGACACCTGCATACATTGCTCCGGAAGTGTTAGCCCGACAAGAATACGATGGGAAGGTAAATTTAACGCTAGCTTATTTTTTGAGCTTATTGAAAAGCTCCATTTGGTCAGCAATAGACTAGCTTTTTGCAACGTTTCAACAAGCTCCAAACATGTTTTAGTTTTTTTCCCCTTATATTTTTTTCATTTATTTTTCAACAGATCATTTTACAAGCTTATCAACTAGTTATCTTTATACCAAATATGATTAATTTTTCAGTAAACAACTAACTTATTAAGTAGCCAGTTCTCTAAACATAGCCTAAATCAAACGAAGCCATCATAACTTGATTTATTATCGGTAGTGAGTTCGAGTGATGGTTCTGATCGATGTTCTTTTTTCAGATCGCAGACGTGTGGTCGTGTGGGGTGACATTATACGTTATGCTTGTTGGTGGCTACCCTTTCGAGGATCCAAACGAACCAAGAGACTTCCGAAAGACAATACATGTACAAGAAACATTTTAATTGTTGCAATCTCACATCAGTTAGACTTAAACCATTTCATATATATTAGCACGATAATTAAATGAGAACCACAAACTTGTGAAAACCGATGTAAAAATATTTTTTACATCAAAGACTACGATTGTAGCTATTGTTTCACATATGTTTGTGTTGGAGAAAAAAATCCATATGAGACTATCATATTACGAAAAACACACACGTTTTCTTCATATTAATAAACCTGTCATGTTATAAGTTCCATTTCATATACAACAAATCTTACCCGTTTGTGATCTGCAGAGAATTCTTGAAGTTCAATACTCGATTCCAGAAAACATTCCGATATCACCCGAATGTCGCCACCTCCTTTCAAGAATCTTCATTGGCGACCCTACACAGAGAATCACGATGGCGGAGATAAAAGCACACGAATGGTTTTTGAAGAACCTGACTGCAGATCAAATGGAAGAAGAGAAGATGATTAAGAGCCTGTTCGAAGAACCTGATCAACCAATGCAGAGTGTGAATGCCATTATGCAGATAATATCCGAGGCCACTATTCCTCCTGTTGGCCATTACGATCTCGAGATGATGGATGATGATCTTGATCTCGACCTTGACCTGCTGGATGACTTCGACTCTGATTGTGAAGAACCCAATATAGATAGCAGTGGTGAGGTCGTATACGCCATATGATCATACATATACGTATAGATTGCCTGTATCTGCTACAAAAAAGAATTGGTCTGAAAATCGTACTTTCAGAGATCGATTTGCAGTTGTCATAACAATATTATGCACAACTTGTGTTATATAAAATTTATAATCCTTCTATTACAGCTACATGTTTTCAGCATGTTCAAAACAGCAAAATATAGTTATCTTCCGGTGAAAGTTTAAGAATACGATGGAACCTTATCAGATTACTCTCCAAAATAGTCATTAATGAGAAAAGAGTGGTTCCAACATATATGTGACATTAGCCGATATGGAACACTAACACAGAGGCTAAATGCGCAGATATCCTAGTTGTTGGGTCTCCGGCAAAGATATCTAAATAGTAGATCTTGACTTTGATATATGTCGAAGAGAAATCATTCAAATGGAAATGAGTTTTCAATAATGAGAGCATTCGGAATATTGATTACTCAAATGGTAATAATGGGTGTCCAGTTTAGCTTGCACGCATCTCGACTAATCCCAAAGGTATTAGAGAACACCGGGAAAATCTCCAACGATCTTGCAGGACTCGAATCGAAATTTTTTCCAAATATTCGAATCTTATTAAGAGTTAAGTTAATCCACCACAAGTTTAACTCGATATATATTTATGCAAACCTAAGTTGAAAAGCGGTTACAACATATCCTAACAAACTGAACAAGAGAAAAGTTACATGCTGGTGACGGAATGCATTCCGTTACTACTGTCTAAATGGCAAATAAAACTAATTTTGATAGGAATGACCACTTGCAATTAATTTACGTCTCCTAACGATAAATTATTAGCAGATTTATCGATAGAAGAGATTGTTAATTCGTAACAATTTTGTGCAGTGTAGTAAACTAGTAATTTGAATTGATACGGTTTGTGCAAATGAAAAATAAAATGAAACAGAGGCAAATTGATACGGTTTGGGCAAATGAAATAAAATGGAAGACAAATGAAAGTTGCATTGAAAAATGAAATCTGTTTCACCGAGATTAGCAGTACAACCAGGATATGCATCAAAAACTTGACGTCCGAACATTGATAATAGCAAATAGTACAACTAGAATAGCATCATAAGAATTGATGCCGGTAGTTACGCTACGCATTATTCGTACTATTATATTTCTCTTAACATGATTCATAGTTGACTGCGATTGACTAACAGCAATCACCAAGCAAGTGGTAGGCCGGCCTTAGACATTAGAGGCCTTGGTGCCCCGTCCTCACTACCATGGGCTTGACCTCAGCTGTGGTACCAATGCCGGTACCAACAGCACAACTTCCACTTACTTGGTCCACAACATCACACGATCCGGACGCGGCAGTCAGGTTAATCATATCCTTCCGATCAAAAGGTGGCGAAGCGTCTCCAGTACTGCTACCAGTCTCTTCATACGAAACAGCAGAGGGATGAAGGTGAGGGAACGGCAAGTAGATGCTGTGAACCACGATCTTCAGGTTGCGCATTACGTCCGGGACCTTAATCCGAACGTAATTGATCCTCATCGGCGTAAATCCGCCCGCAGTTGTCGTCACCATCAGCGACTGGCCTGTTTCGAGCGTTGGTAGTACAGTTCCAGATGAAATCTTCTCAAGGTCAGAGATCGGGAGTAGCTTGTTAGGAATTACGTGGAACCTGATGTTGTTGACATAGGAATGCGAACCAGAAAAGATAGAAACATCGTCGAGTGCAAACACCGTCATGTTCTGGATATTCATGAGTTCCGCTGATTTCAACTTCATTGCCAGAGCGAGAATGCTGAATCCACTGTTGCGTAGTCTGAGCATAGCATCTCTTAGCATAAGCCGCATTATATACGTCGGATAGTGGACGGATTGATGTGCAACATTATGTCGATTATCTGTCTGGCTAGGGAATGACAGAGACGTCATTCGTTCGATGTTGCATGAGAACGGAGAGAGAGGAGCCACGTAGCCTTGAAGACCGTGAACAACAACGAGACCGTTGTTAAACAGATCCGGACGAGTGATCTCTACGCCTCCAATGAAGATCTTCGTGTAGTTATTCGCATCAGTCGATGATGTTACCGTGATGCAACGTCCAGGATCCATAGTCTCGATCTTCGTACCGAAAGCTAGTTTCCGGAGGTATTCGTACGAGAAGAGGCCTGGAACAATGTGTTCACGGAGAAGGCGAACTACGGAGCAGGAAGAACAGCTTCGGATCGACGAATCCGTCGGAGCGAAGAGAGTTGTCGGACCGTTCCAGGTAGTGAACGCCGAGTCATCAGAGAGAGAAGGAACAGCCATGGAGAGTTCCTGGAACCCTAGATTTGCCAGGATCGGCTCGAAGATCGAAGTCGGAGCGAAGGAATCGTGAACATCCTGTGGCGTGGCGGTTGCCGAAGTCGGTGAAGAAGCCAAATCCAGAGTGGACGGATTCGTCAGGCCACCAGTGGTGGCGGTTGCTCCCGGAAAGCAGAAGGTTGAGAGCAGAATCGCTACAATAACAAGCGTCAATTGGAGAGAAGGCGCCATCGGAGGATGAAAGGTGTAGTATGAAATCTGAGGACGTTGCAACGAAATCCAGCTATTTATAGGAGGTTAGGGAGAAGAATATATCGTATGCAATGCATCCACCATAGGTTTCATGCATCCCTGCTTTAGATTATGACACGTTAGCAAATGCGAAATCCAGTTCTCCTTGGCTGGATTCAGTTTGTCCAATTATGTATTAGGACAATGACATTAATTAGGCAAATAAGCCTCGTGTATTTCACACTTATCATTTTTATGATAAATATATATAAATAGTTATAAACCCTAAAACCTAATGATCATATTAATTATTTTATTTTTAAATTTTAATAAACATAAAATATCCCTGGGTAGGGGTATTAAATGAATACAATCAATCAAGTCCAACGTTTGTCCAATAATTAGCAACCCAACTATATATTAATAAAATCAAATATAATGTTTGTCCAACAATTATCAACCCAACTAATAATAACTCAAGTTTTGAATGACACAATTTAGTTTGAACAATGTACAATCCCTTTCCCATATACTTTTTTGGCTGCCCTTGAAAGTCACCTACTTCTTCAAGCTTTTATTTATGATTAAGAATAAATTGTGGGACAGAAGTGAAGAAAACAAAGTGGCAAAAAGCAAGCCATTCATATTAAACTTGGTACTCAAAATTATTTAATGGCGGACATCTTACTAGTATCAGTATAGATTCAGAGGGTTTGGTGGTCGGCGATAGAGACGGTGACTGTGGTCGGCGACGGTGTTGGTGGTCGGCGACGGTGTTGGTGGTCGACGATGGGTAAGATGGTGTTGATGGTCGGCGACAGAGACAAAAATGATATGACGGGGTCAGTGGTGGATACATAGCTAAGCGATAAGGGGCACAGACCCCCAACAAACCACCAAGAAACCCACAAAAAAGAGCATGACTTATAGTTTTAAATATATTTTTTAACCTAAAATTACAAATAGGCCCCCAATAATTAAAAGACAAATCCCCAAATTTAATCCCCATCATTTCACTTATAACTTTCATTTTATTTCATTTCAAGGAGTTACGAATTTAAGAATCAATTAAACTCTAATGTCCCTAATTTATAAGAAAAAACTCATTGAAAGTCATTTTATTTGTCTTGTTTTATTTATTATAATTATAATAATTTGATCCATCACTATTTTTTTTGTTTTTTTTTTCAACTTTCTTTTTGCATTTTATTTTTTTATAGATTTACAATTATTGTTATTTGTTGATTATTAATTTTCTATTTCTTGATATTTGATTTAGGGTTCTTGAGTTTGTTCTTTAATTTGAGTTTGTTATTTTGATATAGGGCTTACTACTAGTTTATCTTTTATTTTAGCATATTGGTCTTTTGCTCTCTAATTTTTCTAATTGAATTTAATTTCTTGTCCTCTGATTTCTTGCTATTGATTATTAATGTGTATTGTGTTCATTTGTTATAAGTTGAACCGAAATAAAAGTATATGTACAATGCCTCTGTTTATCCGAAATAGTAAAATTAATCAAAAAACGGAAAAAAGTTTTATTTATTTGATTAAACTGAACAGTTTAAGCCGACAACCGAATAACCCAAAATCATCTTGGTTCGGATGAGTTGTTCAGTTTTAGAATTTTTTTGACACCCCCAACTCTCTAAGTTTACCCCCAATAAAAAAAAATTATGGATCCGTCACTGGACGGGGTTGCTGGTTGGCGACGGTGATATGCTCTCTCTCTCAATGTGCACTACGGTGATTTGCGTTCTCTCTCTCTTCTCTGCTCTCTCTCGCGTAATCTGATTTGAAAGGAGAGGAGTTGGGGTTTTAGATAGGGTATCTGCGATGGAATTGCGAGGGGGAATTTCCATCTCTAATTATTAAAATTTTAAAATAATTTTTTTAATTAGTTAAATTATTTTTTAATTAATAACTACAAATTTAATTAATTTATTAATTTTTAAATTAATTAATTATTAAATTATCGAATATTTATTATTTATTAGTATATCACAAAAATTAATTAATAAAACCGAATAAGCCTATTAAGGCCCGATAAAACCGAATAAAGCTCATTAAGGCCCAATAAACCAAATAAAGTTCATTAAGGCCCAATAAAACTGAATAAAACCCATTAAGACCCAATAAAATCGAACAAAGCCTAATAAAACCGAATAAAGTCCAATAAAACTGAATAAAGCTCAATAAAATCGAATAAAGCACATGTACATATGTATATATAATACACATCGTGGTTAACAACCAAAACATATATATACATATAACACATATACATGTATACATACGACACCTACAGATAAACATGTGTACATATAATACACAAAAAATGAGAAAATAAGAAATATAAGATAATCCCTCGCTGATCAATTGCTGATTAGCTACAGATTGGACATTCCCTCGCTGATCTGCGAGGGATCAGCGAGAGAATTTGTTTTTGGCCAATTCTCTCATTGATCCCTCGCAGATCAACGAAGGATAAGCGAGGGAACTGGATTCTGGTTATTACTTCGCTGATGCCTCACTGATCAGTAAGGGATCTGCAAGAGAATTATCCTATTTTTTCTTATTTTCTCAATTTTTATGTGTTTTTTGTACACATGTTTATATGTAGGTGTCCTATGTATACATGTACATGTGTTATATGTGTTTTGGTTGCTAACCGCGATGTGTGTTATATGTATATATAGCCGTCGACCTGTGTTATATACACATGCATACACGACGTGAATATATGTTTGTTGGTTGCTAACCATGATCGGATCTATGTATATATTGTTAAAAATACATTTATCGGATGTTGTATATATGTTTAAATGTATGTGTATATGTGAACGTCTAGATAATGTGTGTGTCATATGTACACATGTGTATGTGTTATATGTATATATATATCCCTTCAATCTGTGTTTTATATATATGTATACACGATATGTATATATTTATGTTTTATTAGGTCTTAATGGGATTTATTGGACCTTAAATCAATAAATAATTAATAATGGATCAACAAGGGAACTGGTTTTAGCATTTCCTTGTAGGGATTTTTTCCGTCGTTGATACATTGTTTTTAAGTTGTGATTATTTACATATTAATTACATATATATATATATATATATATATATATATATATATGATATATTTCAAATACAACCATATTCATTTGTACAACCATTGCAACCCAATTAATTGAGATATTTATAAAAATGATGTGTGTTTATTTATTATGATTTGAATAGTTATAAAAGATAATATGATTCATTAATTATGATCAATACTTTATATTAGGAAACACTCAAAACTTATATGAAATCACATATTCATCAAATTAAATGTACGGTTGAGATTGAATTATATTGGTTGTACAAATATAAAATGTTGTATAATAACTCAGCTTTATATATATATATATATATATATATATATAGTACTAGATTCTTATATTTAATTTATTATATTTATTTATTTACATTTTATATATTATTATCTTATGTATACTACCTTCAACATTATTACTTTTCATTTTCATTTTCTTTTTCTTCTCTATTTTATTTCCATTTCTATCCTTAAAAATCATTCTTTAGGTATCTAATTTCATTTTAAATTAAATATTTTTTTAATTAATTAATTTATAATTCATAATTACTTTTTGAATTAATTACTCTCATTTGTTTTTATACTTCACAGATGTGGGCTGACCTTCAAAAACTCCAAAATTTTCATCTTTATTTCCACTTAATAGGTAGTGTTGAGGAATACATAAGTATACACGTCTTTTACGTGTTAATTGTACTATATATAATGTTAGAATAAGTGAAAATGTAATATAAATCAGTTTATGTTTAATTTACATGTCAACTCTCAATGTTTATGTTTTTTTTATGATTATATAATTATTAACAAATAATAATATTTATATTAATAAGTATTTATTTGTTTT